TTTCTACAAGGATTCGACGAATTGACAATCTACAAGGAACTGGAAAACTTAGAAAAAAGTAAGTGAAGAATTTAATTTCATGTTTTTATTTTCTTAATATTCATTATTTTATAATTCAATACAAATAATTTGTTGTTTATTGTTTTAGGGACGCCTAATTTGGGAGTTGAGGATAATCCAACTCAAGGAGATGAAATGCCACCTTATCTCGTCCACCACCTTTTCAAGTTCAACAGCTCCAATCACTACCTCCACGACCACCCATTTCAAGAGCAACTATAACAAGGGGAAGGGGTCAACCATCAACAACCAGGGGAAAGGACCAACCACAACTATCAACAAGCGCAAGGGGTCGAAGGGGCCGAACAAGGCAACCTTCATGAACTTGACTTAAGCTTTTATTTTTGCTTTTGGTTTGTAACTTTTTTTTTTTGCTTTTGGGTTTGTTACTTAACTTATTTCATTTTGGTTGCATGCATGTTGAATCTAAGTAGTTTAATAGTATACTGCAGAAATATAAGTATGAGTTTGGCTTCAATTTGAATTGGCATGAGTTACAATTGGTATGAAATTATGAATTGGAATTTGAAACTAGGCTTCAATTTGTTGCGCTTTCTAAAAACAAAAAATTGGGCACACCAAATTTCAACCCAAAATTCAAAATTCATAAATAAAAAAAAATAAAAAAATAAAAAGAAAAAGAAAAAAAAAGCCCAACAATTTGTGCTAAAGGCCTAGTCTTGATCTATATACCAAAATACTGAAAAACTTTCAAGAATTCCGAAAATCGAGAATACCGAAATTCAAGACACTGAAATTTCAGTTCGTAATCGGTTTTCGGAATTTCATCCCGAAAGGAATCGGTTCGGGATTCAATACCCTATTTTTGGTTCTGGATCTCGATCTGTACCAGCTCTACTGCTCGATAGAGTCAGCACACGGAGAGAAGTTTTGGTAAGGTTAACCGAGGATCAGCTGTCAAGGTGGAACTAATTCTTAGCTTTTCGTGAAAGGCAATTTAGGAATAATGTAGTCGAGAGTCCCGGACAAATTTTTTCTCCACTTTAAGAATGTCCAAGATTTTTTATGGTCATTTCTAATGGAACTTGATAATTTTTCTTTATTTACATGGTCGAAGAGTCCCTACCCAACATTCTCACCACACCCTCACTTTTAACGATGTTAAGTTTCTTCGTTATTACGAATTAGAGTAAATTGTAGCTATAGTCCCTTGACTTTAACTTAATTAGAGCAATGGTCCTTTAACTAAAAATTCATTACCATTGGTCTTTCAACTCATCAAAACGTGCAGCTATGGTCCCCCAACTAAAAATTCATTACCATTGGTCCCTCAACTTTAATTCAACTGGAGAAATGGTCCCTTAACTTTAATCCAATTGTAGCAATGGTCCTTCCAACATAACTTGTTTTGACAAAAATTTTGACGTAGTTGACGAAAATGACCATAATTACACACTTTGATGAGTTAAGAGACCCTAATTGTATAAATGGTCATTCTAACATAACTTATTTTGACAAAATTTTGATGAAATTGATGAAAATGACTATAGCTACACATTTTGATAAGTTGAGGGACCAATGGTAATTGATTTTTAGTTGAGAGACCATTGCTCCAATTTAATTAAAGTTGAAGGACCATTGCTACAATTTACTCTTACGAATTACGACCTGCAACTCTTCACATGCAAGGAGGATGAACGAAAACAGCCTCCAGGTTTCTGGAAAAATAATATATCGATCAACGATTATCTTCTTGTGCTTCTTCAGAAAGCCCCATACAATTTTACCTTTAAAAAAAGGGGAAGAACGAAACCCCAAAACATAACAAATCAAACTAATAATGTTACATTTGGGTTGTTAGCCTACTGCTTATCAGTAGCTATTGATAGACTTTGATCGATCATTGCTCTTAATTATTTGGCGTACGTTTTTTTTTTTGTCACTTGAAACACCAATAACCTTTGATGCCAAGAAACGACCATAAACCTCACGACATACGGCCCCGGCGGCAGAACACATAAAAAGTGAAATACCATGTGATTGTTATTTCCTATCTGTTATTAAAGGAAAGTAATTTGGAATTATTTCCGTAATTATTGCATGTATTAGAGGAATGAAATTTTCAATTCACTTCCAGAAACTATCATTTGCCCAACAAACAAAATTTTGTCAGTCAAAATAACTTTACATCGAAAAAAAATTGGTCGAGCGAAAGTGGTCAACATTTAAGTGTTTTCTGTACAAAGTACATGTAGATGCAAATTGAAAGACTTATTCTATCATGTGGGCTCAACAATTTTGATTAGTTTCTAAATTGTTTAGAGATGGTTGTGTTAAATTGTGGTTGCAATTACAAAAGCTGTGGCAGAGCGCAAGTATTTTTGCTAGTTTCATCTAAACTGTGGAGGGGATACAAAGATTTGAAGTTGGTTGTAGAGAGTACAAAACTAAAGGTTTGATACAGATTTTTCGCGCTATTGAAACTTGTATTGCCTATTAGATGTTAGGGGAACTTTTGGGTCTTTAATGTTGTAAGAATATCTTCAATGGAGATGTCAAAAGATAAATGTCAAATGTTAATATGATGGTTGATGTGATACTACCAGATTTTCTCTTTTTATCCAACCGATATGTTTTTTTTATTATAAATGATATTTGTAGGTCCCATTTGAAAAAAAAATCAATTAAAATAAATTTTCAAGATCTATAATTATTACATTAATGTGACCCAACCAATAAATATGATTGACATATCGGTTGGAATTTGCTCATACTTTCAAATTTGATTACATGACATTCTATTTATGATTTGACATCTCTTTTGGAGATGGTCTAAGGACTCTATTTTAAGCAAGTTATTTTTACACACTTCTATTTAATTTTGGTTGTTAATTTCGTTTAATTTATTTAATTTGATGGTTATTAATAGAGTGGGGTGTGCATGCTAAAAGGACGGGTAAAAGTCACTTTCCTTATTTTAAAGTATTAATTATTATATCTGCCAACCTGTCATATTTTTTGACATTTAGTTGTGAAAATTTCTTCATAAATAAATATAAAGTGGGTAAGAAGACATGAGAGATGGGTGAATATAGCATCCCCTTTATTTCTATCAGGCATGGGAATTGCCCCACTTCAGCCCGTTTTGCACATTTTCAATTTTTTTTTTCTTTCCTTATTGATCATAATTAAGATAATTTGGTGAACATTTATCTTTAACAATTTTAGTCGAGAATCTATATTTCTCATTCAAGGACAACTTAAAAATAACTCGTAGATTATGTTGCAATATCTGTTAATTCTATCAATGACAAAAATTTGTACTCGCAGCCACCCCACTAATACGTGCAAAATTTGCTTTATGTGGAAACAAACGATATATAGACCACCACGCAACATCAACCTTAATTTTCCAAAAACCAGATCGATCAGCTATTCATCTTTGTCTTCTCATTGCTACTTTCACGAAAAAAGAAACAAAGCTATGCAAGAAAAAGGAATATGAAGAGGTGCCTCTACAAATTGACCCAAAAAAGAAACTATAGGGCAATTTCACATTTCCCAGAAGCCATCAAACTTTGCACACAAGTTTACACAAAATAATCCAAAGTACAAAATCATAAAGATATCATGATAGCACACTTTCTTTGTCTTGTTTCTTCTTGGGATTTTCTCACTGACTTTCTCTCTCTCTTTTTCGAGACCCAAGTGAAAATAAAAAATGTTCTACTTCTCTCTCTCATGGCAAGAGAAAAGTCTCTCAGTCCAAAGTGCGTAAAACACTAGAACCCTCGCGTGCTTCACCCCCCACCTCTTCCTCATCGGAAAACAATCTTTCTCTTCCTTCCATACACTCACAGAGATATAGAGTGTGCTTAGGGTTAGGGTCATATATATAGACAGACATTCTCTTTTGTTCCCACCAAATGTTTCTTCAAATATCAAAACATTGGGTATTGCCCAAAACAAGCCAACAATTGCATATGTATATAGCCACACTTTCGTCTGTATGTCTGAGTGTGTGTCAGAGAGAGAAGGCTAACGAGAAAGAGAAGATTGACTTCAAACTTCAAAGTGTAATTTTCAAATAGTTAATTCATTAGGGTATAGTCCATCTTATGGACCACCGATCAATTTTTTGTGTCAATGGTTTTCAACATGGGTTCTGAGTTTATTAGTTTATTGCAAGGGGGTAAGACCATAATAAGAAACTTAGCAACATTGGTCTGTAGAATTTCAGAATTCCGAAGATCATTTTGTGTGGTGTCTCACGTGATCTTTACGTGCTCATTGTGCACACGTTTGATAAGGTGGTGGGAATGGATGGGATTGGGATATAATCTTAGTTTGATCCTCATGTGGAAGGTTTCAACTAAAAAACATAATTAGAATTAGCATTAGAAATCAAAGTAATTCTCTTGTTTCTCCTCCTGTCCCAACTGGAGAAATTATAGTGTAATTTCACTGCTATTATAGTGTAGTCCCATGCAGGTATATCTTTACTTTAGGCAGGCTTGCAGCTCTAGGTAATTGCACGAGGGTGTGGAGAAATTTTTAGTTGTGACGAGAATACAGATAGTATATCACTTGTTTTTATGCAAGTGGTGGAAAATTATAATTTTTAAGCTATTAACCTTTCAACACACATAACCAACCATTTATATAGGGACACATAGTATACCACCTTATGTGACGATCACAATGAAAAATCTCTCGAGGATTTGGGTGGTGATGCAGCCGAATCTTTATGGGAAGAGTCCTAATAAATGGAAGATGATATTTTATAGACCACATTCAAATTATTTCTCTAATAAAAATAAGTTAACCAATCAAGTAGATAGTTTGAATGCGATCTCTCTAGAAATTTCCTATTTATACAAAAGAAAAGGAAATGGATATATAGTAATGTGTTTAAGATTTCTCAAGAACAAGTTGAGAAGAATAAAAGTATTGTGTTGCGAATATGACTTGTTATGATTCCTTTAGAGACTTCGATAAAATTCGAATGATACGGAGATGATTAACATGATCCTTGCGTAATAAAGACGCCCATAAATCAAGAAATGGTTCAAATTTTTAAAACAAAAAAACAATGACTTCTTATATGTTATTTGGCTCCAGTTGTGTTTTTTTTTTAAGAGAGTTTTAACGAAAAATCACAGTACTGTTTAATTTAACGAAAAACTACATTTTTACACTAAAAAGTCAAACATGGTACTATTCACTTTACATTTTATTTTGTTCTTATCGTTAAAACTTAAGGTTTTCAAACCTTTTTCATTAGTTTTCATTTTTTTTTAATGCAATGTGCTTGGTTTTGTATTAATTAATTGGCTTCCTTCTAATTAAAAAAATAATAATAATTGGCTCAAGTTTGTCAGACATAATATTGAATTCGTTTTCATTTGTAGGTCATGGGTCCTCTCCAGATCCATGTATCTTAATCCACCAAATTCATGTATTCAGATTATTGAAATTTGATCTAGCAGCTAAACTTATGATAACTTTTAAAATAGACTCTTGTTTGTAGTCTTTGGATCAAATTTCAATAGTATGAATATATGAATTTAATGGATTAGGATATATGAATCCAGAGAGGACCCATGTCCTCATTTGTATATTAAAAGATAAATTATACCCCATTCCGTGAAAGAAAATAATGTTTTTCCATAGATAGTATGTACATATATGTGTGTGTGTGTGTGTGTGTGTGTGTGTGTAACATATTATATACATGGGGGAGGGTAGATTCGAGACACTATTTTTTTACCTAAATTTTGACACTATTTTGTGGGGCCTATTTTATAATGTATTTCAACGATCTGAACCGTCTATTTGTTAAAACATCATTCATTGATCATTCATGCAAAAAATTAGACAAATCCAAAACCATTGAGACATATTCATTTATAATAAAGAAATATGGATGGATACGTTTCTACAAAAAAACCTTAAACTCTTAATCCAACGGTCGGATTTAGATGATTTTTGGTAAATATGATATTTGAGAGAAAACATAAAAGATAGATAAGTCCCCAGAAAACATATGTCAAAAGTTGTGCAAAACAAAATGGTGCCACAAATCCACACCATACACACACACACACACACACACACATAAATATGGGTACATTCATCAAAATTAACCGAAAATTATTGTACTATAAAACGTTTGGTAGATTTTTCAAACACAAAACATGGTTACATTCTTCAAAATTAACCGAAAAATTATTGTTCATAAAATGTTTGGTAGATTCTTCAAACACAAAACATGGTTACATTCTTCACAACTACAATTAAAAAGTAATAACAATAAATATTTGGCTTAATGACATGGATACATTTTCATAGCAATGAAAATTAAAGTACCCATACAAGTTCAAAAAATGGATAAAAAAATGAATCAATTTTACATGACAACACAAATTCAGTGATGTGGAGCAAGTATAGCTTTGGATTTCTACACGTGAATAATCTGCTCTCATACCATAAAAAAATTATGATTCCACTATAAATATTCTTTAATAGCTTTGGAGCAAGTATAGCTTTTGGATATTCACATTTTATTCGTTCATCGTATATTGTACGGTCGGCTTGCATTAGGTTTTGTTTGTGTTTAATTTTAAATAAAAAATTTAAAATAATTTTTGACCGTACGATATACGATTAACGGATATAATATAACGATAAAAGAGGATCTGGAATCCAAATCCGTATAGCACAACTGTAAGAAAAGGGTTTAAATGGTTGCCAACTAACCATACTGACATGATCAGAGTTCATCAATTGTCTAATACCAGAGGTAACCCTAGCATTACTGATCAGAGTATCTTTCTCTTACATACCAGTTCTTCAGGTGCTTCTTCAGCGTCATTTCTGTGGGCCTGCGTAACACGGGAGATTGTCTTCGTTTAAGGGCAAGCAATCCAAATAATATCACAGATTAGATTTAATCAGTCGAACAATCCTTTCTTGACCACACTGAGACCCAATCTCTCCCTCCAATACCAAATCGAACGGCTAGGAGACCTCTACCAGTTTCTCGAGATCATGAACCCTTAAAACCCATCAAATCACTTTGTGTCCACGATTTACCCTTCTCTTTTCTTTTGTCAGCTGTATCTCTTTTTTAGTATGTCTAGAATACGGGTAGTAGACTACGCATCAATATGTAAATGGAGAAATTTTTATTTTAATTGTTAATTTTTTAACATATGCTCTCACAACTTATAAAGAGAAATCTTGTATACTATTTTATATTCCGAACAAATTAAAAATTATGCAGGTAATGGAATTATTAATATTAAACTTTCAATATCAAATGTTTAAACCTCCGAGTTGTTTATCTCTAACTTGAACTTCACTCATGGAGAACTAAACATAATTTTGGACAATATTTTGATTCTTTAAAAATAATATTTTAAAGAATCGTGTATATTTTTGTCATCTCAAACCATGTAGGGCAATATTTTAGTTCATTTGATATTTTATCTTTTTAGTCTATTGAGAAAAAGTATGATACAGCACTCATACATTCACTACTATGTGTTGTTTAAAATTAAATAAACCCCCATTTATATCTTATTTTCTATAAATATTTTTCTAAACACAGATTATTTGTAAACATATTTTTAAAAATATTATTTTTAATAATAAAATATAACTTAATGTGGACTCGTGAATCATGTAGAAAAGGGAGAATGGACATTGGACGTGGTTTTAGAAAATAAGTGGATGAGTTTGAATTGTTACAAATAAAATATTCAATGTTAAAATAGAATGTAATTTGAGATGAAAAGTTAAACTAAGTAGCTTAATGTAAAATAAAAAAAAATAAAAAAAAAACTTGATTATTGCATCAAAACATTACTCGTGTGTCATGCTCTTTTAGTTGAGTTTAAATTTTCATTCAACCTAATTAGGTATTTGAGTATACGAGTATAAAAATTTTAGTGCCTAGGCATTTGGAGGTAGGATAGAGGATAAACTTACATCTAAGTTGGTTTTGAGTTAGTGGACATGCATGTAGGAGTGCCCAATAACTGTCTCACTTATCTTCTCATTTTAATCTACTTCTTTTCTCTTTGAAATCTTAAGTATTCATGAGAAGATGAAAAAAGAGGTAAAAAAAAAGGGATAATGTGGATGCAGTCCTTAGTCCCTAACACTCTTTGATTAAAACCTTAAAGATATTTAAAGTTTGATCCAAGTCCCTTGACTTTGTACACCTCATTATATTACTATTAGTATTTACATTTATATAGTTTTGGCATTAATTGTTTGATGTTTTATGAGATTTATAATCCTATGAACTTAAAATCCTTCATTATAATACTATTAGAAATGGCTACAATAAAAAAAATTCAAATATTTTGATTGAACAAATGGATAAAAACTACGTAACAATATGAAATAATAAATGGCAAAAGAATGTATCCATAGCGTTAAAAATTTGGTACATTTTACATATAACAAAGTGGTACATTAATAAAGAAAAATGAGTATATTACAAATAAATTAGGGTACAAATAAAAAAGTTATGAGTACTTGAAATTTAAAAAATATGGGCACAAAAAAAAAATATATATATGGGTACAAATTAAAACTAAAAAGAAAATAGTACAAATTAAAAAAAAAAAAGGTTGCAAATTAAAAGTGGGTATAAACTAAAAATATAAATATATGATACAAAGTTTAGCCTTAAAATATAAATATATCATATATAATTTTTCTAACACTAAATGAATATTTTAGAAATTTAATGTAATATGTTATTTATTAAAATAATAATATTTATTAAAACCTAAGTATCTTAATAAAAGATTATAAAGAAATAAAATTTTAATAGAAAAATAAGGAATGTAAACTTAATTTCTCCTTAAAAAAAGGGGAATAATAGTTGTCTCTTTTTTTTTTTTTTTTTTTTTTTTTTTTTTTTTTGGAAACGAATAGTTGTCTCCCCTCGACCATGCATAACAAGCAAGCCTAATGCCAATCTCAGTGTAGATGATAGGGGTACTTGTGACATTCTCAAGGGCATATCCCTCCTGCCAAGATATAGGTAATGACGTAAATATGAGGGATTACGGTCTTATCGAACATGACAGGAATATCTTAATAAAATCTTCTTCAAAAATGAATGTAAAAAATGGTTTAATTAATATTTTTATATTATGTGGGATATATAAATTCTTAAGCTGCAGATTCTGGATTCATCACTGACCATTCAGAGCAATATGAACAACCAAACCCTGGCCACCGTTCCGTTATACAGTAACCCCGTAATGTTTCATGCACAACCAGAAACGTTTCGGTTTCTAACCGAGACGAACTCACTTTATGAGTCTTACTTGAGGAAGGTCCACTTCTCGGATTCCACCATTTCAATCCCAACCCAGCCGAAGATCTTCAACCAACCCAGTCATACCAATATTTCGCCCGAAGTTCCGCTTGTTGGTGTTAATGACAAAGGACCGGAATCCCAAGCCGAAACGCCTCCGGTTCTTGATGGAATCGCTGCTGTTGTAGGGCAACATGTCCTCTTTGGTAAAAAAAATAGCAGTACCTCAAATAATGGTGAAAGCTCTCTAATTCCGGATTTCGGCTACGTTTCGGAGCGTCTTGGTGCCGCCGAAACTTCGATAAAACATGCTGATAATAAGAAGAGTAACGTTCCGGTGCAAAAGAACTATCGGGGAGTGAGGAAGAGGCCATGGGGAAGGTGGTCGGCGGAGATAAGGGACCGTATCGGGCGGTGCCGTCACTGGCTGGGGACTTTCGACACGGCAGAAGAGGCAGCACGTGCGTACGATGCGGCGGCGAGGAGGCTGAGAGGGGCAAAGGCCAGGACCAACTTTGAAATCCCGTCTGTGTTTCCCCTCACGTTGCATTGTTCACCACCTTCTTCTTCGGATGCCAAGAGAGCGAGAAGTGCTAAGAGGCCTCCCAAGGGTTCGAAAAGCAACAGAAAATGCTCAGTGGTGACCAGTGTAGCTCATTTGTTTAGTGAGGCTCCCACTGATCTTAGAAGTAGTCAAGTTAAAATTCGGAATGTGGAGCTGGATTTGAAGATTGGAGTTGGAGTGAGTTTTAATGGAAATTAAGTGTTCTTATTAACTCCTCTATATATATAGTTAGTATTTCCAATTTGGTTTATTTTCCATTTTTCTTTTTCTGTTTTGCCTTTTGGGTTCTGACTTTAGTCATGCATGGATGGGTTGGATCAGCAGCTATTGTTTGTAATGCATGTAAATGTAATTAAGAAGCCAAGGAATTTGGTGGATAATTTGTAGCCATCCCAAAGCTTTTAGAAATATCTATTATTTATATCTATATACTTTATTGTTAGTAAGATCGATTTAGAAATTGATATAGTTTTAATTTCCTTCGCTCTCTCTATATTTATGTATGGATTTCAAGATGCATATATGTTTGTGTTCTTGGCCTGGGTTTTAGTGTTTCATTTTATTCTCAGAGGCTTCACTCTCCTTGAGAAAATTCCTGTGCAAGTGTTGATCCGGAACGGGATCCCCTCCGCATCCAAAACATCTAAGCTTAAAAGATCAAAAGATCCGGACATTTAGAATTTAATTTAACATATAAACAAAGAATTCTTCTAAAATTTTTAATAATTATAATCATTATATTAAATTTCAATAGTTTGAATTATTTGATTTTTAAACTTAATTTTTTTGTGTTCGGAGAGGATTCGGTTTCAATTACCCATATATTTAAGTAACTGTCAACTTTGGGTTTTTGATTTGGCAGATGTTATCTTTCTATACGGACTGGTGGTGAATACTGACAGTAACTTTGATGGAGGTACATTTTTCCTGATTTTTTCTGCAGCATTTAAAGAACGGATGATGATGATGTGTGCAGATAGCACAGACAGAGAGACTTGAGTTCTTCATGGTCTCTAGCTCGTTGTAAACCATTGAATAGTGTAAGTATGACGACTTCTATGAGACCTATTTTCACTGCACTCATGTATTTGATTGCAGACTGCACTGAGATCTCAGGATCAGAAAAAAGGCATTACAAAGTGAACATAATATAAAGTCTAGCTAAAACCTAGCTGTAGAATATAGTATAAAATATTTTTTTGTTAATATATTATCAACTGTTTTTTATGAAACTGACATTATTTCTAATATTATATTCGATTTGGGAATCCATAAAGTTCAAATTGGATTTCGAGTAACAGTTCCCCACACCATGCATCCGAGTATAACAAATGGAACTTGTGTATAATGCTTGGACATGTCACGTCTTCATTTTCTTTAAATAATGCTCTGATTCTGTTTCTTTTTGTCAAAATATATAAAATCCATTTAAATATCTAGCTTAACTAATATTGTTTCCAAGATTTTGAAAAATAAAAAGTCATAAGATCTGTGGTTAATTTCAAGAAGACGCCCATGAAAGGCGGGTGCAGTGTAAACTGTAGAGGAGTGAAAGAAACAGTAAACGTAAACCATGGGAGGTTTTTCTGGCTTCAACAGGGAATGGCAGAGTTAAACTCATGGTCCATAATTTAGGAAAGAAAGGGATCCTCACCGGATTCCTTTATCCTAATCCATCAAGTTTAAAAATTCGGATCATTGAAATTTAATTCAACAGCTATAAACAGGAGTATATTTAAAAATTATAATAACTTTAGTCGTTTAATCAAATTTTAATGATCCTGATTTCCAAAATTAATGGATTAGAAGAAAGAGATCCGGAGATGATTCATTTCTCATAATTTACTTTTGTACTGATCTCATCTGAGGGAGAAAAAAAAACATATAGCAGATTTCCATTTCAATATGATGCGGATAAGTGTGACATCTTACATCGTCCAAGGGAGTGATCCTTATATGTATATTCTCATCCCTATCTAGAACGAGGCCTTTTGGGAGCTCACTGGCTTCGGGTTCCGTAGGAACTCCGAAGTTAAGCGAGTAGGGGGCTGGAGCAATCTCATGATAGGTGACCCACTGGGGAGTTGCTCGTGAGTTCCCAAAAACAAAACCGTGAGGGAATAGTAAGCCCAAAACAGACAATATCGTGCTACGGTGGTGGAACGAGCCCGGAAAGTGATCCGCCTCGGGCCGGGATGTGACATACGCCACCTTGTTATTTACACAAAGTATTGCAACAACAGATAGCGACATTAAGGATAATATTAGAGAGATTATTTTTAAAATTAAATTTGCAAACTAAATGACATGATTGATAATAATTTGATTATTCTTTTTTTTTTTTTTTTGAAAATAATTAGATTATTCTTTAAGTATTGATTAATGTGCTTATTCTTATTGGTAACACATTATTAATTAGATTGCAAATTTAGTTAAAATTTTTAATCTTCCGATCCTTATCCGACGTTACTAAGAGATACTCTCATGCAAACCGCCAATGTTACATGACAATCCACTTAATGCTTAGCTACATCTTTCATATATGTATTAATGACTCTATATACATATTAAATTTGGTATTTAAATTCAGTTTATATTTTAGGTTCACTAAAAAAAATTTACAAAATTTTTAGGGTAAAGTACAAAAAACTACCTCAACTATTGATGTCACAACACTTTCATACCTCATCTTTTAAAATTGACAATGTTATACCTCATCTTACGAATTTGTGCCAATGTCAGACATCCGTAAGTTTTTCTGTTAAATGCTGACGTGGCAAAAAACGGGACCCATTTTTATTAAAAAAATTAAATTAAATATTAAAAAAAAAACAATAAACAATAAACCAAAAAAAACCAATCAACCCGTGTCCCCCCTCCCTAAAAACTCAGATCCCCTTCTCTGAGTTCTCCCTCACCCAACCCTCTATTTCCTCTCTCTCTCTCTCGCCTCTCTCTTCTCTCTCCTTGCAACCTGCATTCCTAAAATCCCAAAACTCAGAAACCATTCCCACCTGAGTCATCACCGTTGGCGAGCTCTCAATCTTCTGAGCCGACGATCACCGATTAACCCCAAATTTTCCCCGCCACTCTCGCTGGTGTCAGAGCTCTCCTTCAGGCACCACAGGTGCTTCTGGTTCCCCCACTTCAAATACCACGACAAGTTGAAATTGTGCAGAGGCTTCGCCCTTTCAGAACCCATCGCCATGGACTTCACCTCCACTCTTTCCTCCTTATCCGACCCGCCTATATACACCATTTATTGGAAACTAAGACCAAAGAGAGCCACTCTCAGATCATAACTTTCTCTCTCTATTTCTCGCACGTACTCTGATTTTCTAGGAAAAACGGAGAGTTTTTCTATTGGGATTGTTGTTGTTGCTGTTGTTATTGTTTTGTTTTTCTCTCGCAAATCGCCTGAAGGGCAGACTCCAGGGACGAGGAGGATAAGAGAATGTTGTTGTGGAGTTGTGGCTAGAGTTAGGGTTTGGGGGCGATTGGGGGTCGTGGCTGTCATCGTTGGAGTCAACGACAGAGGTAGGGTTGTCGTCGGTGGGATCGGAGAGGAAGGTTAGGGGGGATGGGTGGGAAGGATTTCTAGGTTTTGGGATTTTAGGGATGCAGGTTGTAGGGAGAGAGAAGACAGAGAGAGAGAAAGAGAGAGAGAGGAGAGAGAAAGGGTTGGGTGGGAAAGAACTCAGATAAGGGGATCTGGGTTTTTGGGGAGGGGGACACGGGTTGATGGGTTTTTTTTTTTTTTTAATATTTAATTATTTTTTAATAAAAAATGGGTCCCGTCTCTGGCCATGTCAGCATTTAACAGAAAAAGTAATAGAAAAACTGATGGAGGTCTGACATTGGTACAAATTCATAAGATGAGGTATGACATTGTCAATTTTAAAGATGGGGTATGAAAGTGTCGTGACACCAATAGTTGAGGTAGTTTTTTGTACTTTACCCAAATTTTTATCATCTTGTTTGGGCCTAAAATAACGCTTTGGGCTGATCCTAGAGTTATTTTTGGTCCAATAAAGGATACTGGGAATATTCTGTCATGGGCCGAGCCTAGTGGAGTTCGGCGGAATCCTATCAGAAGATGGTTTTATCTGGATAGGGGTTAGGTGATCAAATCCTAGTACAATAAGGATTCTCGAAAACTAAGAATGCTTTGAATCAGAAAAAATGCCGAGAACCAAGGGTTAAATTTGAACGATTAGAGAGTTGGGTTCAAAATCCTACAAGGGATCAGGATTGGTTAAGATCTATCTGGACTGGGTTAAAGAATCCTAATCCGAGTGAAGTTCCATTTCGACCACTAAGGAAATCATTGCTATAAATAGAGGGGGGAATGCATCATTTAAGCCTATCCAATTCAACACACAATTGCCTTGCACAAACCTCTCAAACACCTTGAGATTTTTATTTTCTTTTTTACCGCCAACATATATTCAATTTGGATAAACAACACTGTGTAGACAACTGGCAACATCTTCAGTTTGGATAAACAGCGATGAAGCCGCAGAATCAGCCGATCAACACGCGGAAGTCAGTAGTACGCCCAACACCACGTTAACATTCATTTACTCCCTGGCCAAGTTCAGTCAACGAGTTGGCACACCCCGCATTTGACCGAATGACGTAGTTACTTATTAATTACTTGGCCTGCGCGCCACGTAGTCTAAGTAGACTCTATTTTGTCAATTTAAAATTCTTATAATCTTAAATTTTCTCATCTAAACAAAGTGTTAAACTCCTAATTGATTAGCAAACCCGGCCCCTGCCCATATGCCATACTATCTACTTCTTTTCCTTAACAACATACAATTCAATAGATGAAAAGAAAATTTACAAAGGAAAATGCGTGGCATTTTAGCTACATTTTGGATAACCAGTCATCAATTCAAACAAATCTCAATAAATTAAATATAAAAGGCCAACTTACTAAGTACTATTGTATTTGTGAATTTAAGGATGAAACGAGCTCAAAAATAAACAAAACGTAATAAAATAGATAATTGTTTTTACAAGTTTAAACAATGTACCTCTTCATTCAGAAAACACATGTACCTATACATTCACCGGTTCAAACCAATTAAAAACACCCTGCAATAAAAAAATACACACAAAAATATCATCACAGCCACTGTTTCTACACAACTATAAATCAAAAACACAAAAGTACCAAATCAATACGTGCT